AACCACCACCACCCCCACGACTAACGCACCACCAGGATCCACAACGAGACCAAGCAGATCGTGGCCGTAAAGTCGCTCGACCTGGACCAGCACGACGACGAGATCAAGGACATCCAGAAGGAGATTGCGCTGCTGTCGCAGCTCAAGGCCGGCGATGCGCCAAACATCACGGCCTTCCACGGGAGCTACCTGCTGGGCCACCGCCTGTGGGTCATCATAGACTTTTGCAGCGGGGGGAGTGTCCGCACTTTGGTGAGTTGCCCCCTCTGGGCGGGTGTGGGTGTGGGGGTTGGGGCGCATTGAGATTGAGGAGGAGGAGGAGGGCTGACGAGAGTGAGGGGGCGCTGGCGGGTGCGTTAGATGAAAGCGGGGCCCATCGACGAAAAGTACATCACAATCATTGTGCGCGAGACGTTGACGGCGCTGGGGTATCTGCACAAGCAGGGGATCATACACCGCGACATCAAAGGTACGGGCATTGGTGTCTTGGGGGGCTTGGCTGACGGGCGGTGGCAGCGGCGAATATACTTGTCGGGCAGGACGGGCGTGTGCAGCTCTGTGACTTTGGCGTCTCTGCGCAGCTCGCAGGCAAGAACGGCAAGCGCAACACCTTTGTCGGCACACCGCAATGGATGGCGCCGGAGGCCCTCACTGGCGGCTCCTACGATTCACGGGTCTGCTCTCACACACACACACACACACTTTCTCTCTCTCTCTACAGCTCTCACAGGTATGCTAACTACATGAGCTACAGATCGACATCTGGTCATTCGGCATCACAATCATTGAAATGGCCAAACAGAACCCCCCCCTCTTCAACATTCCCCCCAACCGCGTCGTCGACATGATCCCACGCCTGCCCCCGCCCCGCCTCGAGGGTGGCACCTGGTCCAATCCGCTGCGCGAGTTTGTCGCCCTCTGCCTCAACGAGGTGCCCGAAGAGCGCGCCACCGTCGACGAGCTGCTGCGCTCCAGGTTCGTCAAGGGCTCCAAGGGCCTGCCCTCCTCGCTGATGCGCGAGCTCATCGTGCGCTACGAGGCGTGGGCCTCGCGCGGCGGCGTCAGAGACAGCATGTGGCAGGCCGCGCTCCAGAGCGACATGGACCAGCTCAACGCCACGCTGGCCTCGGAGCCCGGCTGGGACTTTGACACGGTCAAGAGCCGGCTGAGCGGCGTGTCCGAGTACATCAAGCAGGAGATGAGCGGCGCCGGGGGCAGCAACAGCAACGTCAGCACGCTCAAAGCCGCGCCCGTTCCCGCGCCCTACCGCGGGCCGTCGGAGGCCGCCCGCCAGCGCGCCGCCGAGGGCCTCGTCCGGCTGTTTCAGAGCCCCCAAGAAGAGGCGGCTGCCGCTGCCGCCGCCGCGATACAAAAGCCGACGCCCGGCAACCTGGGCTACGACTCGTCGTTCCGCAGCAGCGACGCCAGCAGCCGCAGCACAACGCCCGAGAACAAGGTGTCAATGATCTCGATCCCCACCTTTGACGACAACGGCCTGCGCGTCCCCGAGAAGCGCGCCACAAGTCCTAACACCAGCGCAACAAAGCAGCAGCAGCAGCAGCCCATCGCACCAACCTCGACGACGCCCACGCCACCACCACCCATCGTGCGCATCCGCCGCAACCGCGCCGACTCTGCCGGCGCCTCCATGCACCACCGGCCCAACAACAACTCGCCGACACCCCCCACGCCAATCGACGACCGCGCCGTCTCCCCCTCCCCCTCCCCCTTCTCCACACCCACACCCACACCCACACCCGCGCCGCGCCGCCCCGCCACCGCCGCGTCAGCGCCCTCCTCCCCCCCGCGCAGCAGCAGCCACCACTACGCGCCCCCGCCGCCGCCCCCCGCGCACCCGCAGCTCGGCCTCAAGTCGCACCACCTCCCGTCAAAGTCCGCGCCCAACATTGCCGTCCTCCGCGACGGCGGGGGCGCCGCCCCCCCGCTGCCCACCATCGCGCCGACGCCGCCGCTGCCGGGCGGGGGCGGAGGGCTGCGGCTGGCGAGCGCGGTGCCGCACGGAAAGTCGCGCAGCGCCGATATCACGCGGGGGCGGCCGGCGGGCGGGAGGCCGGGCAATTTGAATCTGGATTTGCCGGCGGCGGCGGGGATGTTGCCGCCGAGTCCTGGGAGGCCGTGGGGGGGTGCCGTCGGGGGTGGTGGTGGGGGGGGGATGGGCGGTGGGGGGATGGGTGGTGGGGTGTTTCCGGTTATTGAGCCGTTGGATGTGGGGGTGTTGCCGCTGGATGGGGGGGATGCGAGGATGTGGGAGGAGCTGGATCGGGTGTTGGGGGGGTTGGGGGATGCGTTGGAGGTTGTGCAGGTGGGGTTGAAGGGGATGAGGAGGAGGGGGGGGGGAGGAGGAGTAGTGGGGGTGTGGTGTGGTGGGAGGAGAGGGTGGTTTTTATATGTGGGGAGGGGTTGGGTATTTTTATATGCCGGGGGGTTGGGTATTTTTTAATGAGTATTGCTTTTTATTATTTTATTTTACTTTTTTTCTCTCCTTCTTCCTATGATTTATGGCTTTATGTTTGTCTGTCTGTTTGGCGTAGGGACTTGTTTCGTTATCTGCACTTTTGGTTTTTTTCTTCCTTTCTTTCTTGCATGCTGTTGTGTTATCTCATCATCATCATCATCATCATCATCATCATCACGTTGGGCCAGGTTGGGAGTGGGGCGGGGGGGGGGGGGGGGCGGCCAGCGCAGCTAGAAAGCGTAGTAGTAGACGTGGTAGACGTAGTAGACGTAGAAGCAGAAGAAGGAGAAGAAGAAGAAGAGTAAGAAGAAGCGCCAAACAAAAACAAAACAGAACGAAACAGAGCAGAACGGAGGGCGCGGGGCGGGTGAGACGGACGTACGTACGTATGGGGATGGGGGCCACTTTTTTTTATTTTTATTTTTAGCATTTTTCGGTTTACGTTTGGGGTTGTGGTTGTGGTTGTGGAGGAATCATATCTATATCTATATCTATATCTATATATATCTACATCTACATCTACATCTACATCTACATCTATATCTATTTTCTTTCTCTTTTCTATACAGATACATATACATGCATATATATGTATGTATGACTGGGTGCAGATGGTATATTGGTATGGTGTGGTATGGTGTGGTGTGGTATGGTGTGGTGTGGTGTGGTATGGTGTGGTGTGGTGTGGTATGGTATGGCAATATGGTAGATCTACATACATGCACATGCACATGTATGTAGAGCGTGTTGCGTCTTTTTGATCCATGTACATAGCTGGGCTGGGCTGGGAGTGAGGCCTGGGAACTGAGTTCTACAATACATAGCTGGGCGGGGGGCGGGGGCGGGCGAGTGGGTATGTAGACTATAATTACCTCCACGTAGTTTAATATGTAGTATACAAAAGTACGTACATACATTACAGGCAGATACATGTACTAGGTGCTATCTAGAATGGTTTGAGTGTGTGCATGTATGTAGCTACATGTATACATATAGTCAGTCAGTCAGTCTACGTGTTTATGTTTATGGGTAAGTTGGGCATTTTACGTGTAGAGTGGTGGAACATCATGTATGTATGTAGATAAGTACAGAGGACAACATTTGGACTTCAACTAATGGCATGGCAATTGGAGTGCTACGCCTGGCGGCCGATGGTTGTACGGGTTTGATACCGGGCGTGGGTTCGTGCGACATGGGGTATCACTCGGGCGGGTACGGGGGGCGGGGGGTTTCTTTTTTCTTGTTTCTTGTTTCATTCCGAGTATTAGTTTACAGACCTCTGATGTATGGCAAGCATAGTATGCTACATGTAGTAATCAAGTGATTGCAGCCGCTCTGCAAAAGTGTCTGTGGGTTAGTTTTAGTGTCAGTGCGCAGTGCTGGTGTATGTACTGGCGCACCCGTGAAGCTGGCCTTGGAAAGTCTTCCAATTCGGGGGGGGGGGGGGGGGGGTTGATGGTCCGCCACGGTTACATATGTACATGTATGAAGAAATGTCTCACTCCGAAATCAGAACCACGAGCGCTTTTGCAGATCTAGAGGGGCTGCTGTGGATGGGTCGTTGCAAGTAGATAGCTGATAAACGCAGTTGCTCTCTGTTCCTCGAGTCAAGTATGTAATTCTTCTCACGCACGGCCGGCCTGGTCTACAGCTATACATGTAGAGACAGGGGGGACAGGGAGAGAGAATGAGCAGTAATGGCGTTTCAACTGGAATGAGTACAAGTACGTGTACCAAAGTAAGTAAGCACATACATCACCCAGCCATACGTATCTGGTTCGGCCACGATTTTGGTTTTGATCTGGGCTGGCCGCCTAAGGGATAAGTAGTATAGTAATATAATATGGTAGGCATCTAAACTATACAGTGTTCCTCATCGTCACCAGGAACGTTTTCTATTGGTTTGCTTACTATTTCTAATATTGATGGCATATCATTACACAAGTAGGCAAAGAGCTACTCCCGAGATGGAAGGAACTAGCATTAAAAGACGTGCAGCTATTGCAATAAATGTAATATAAAAGAACAAACACTGACGGAACTACAGCTGTATTTTTATATATCAAGACCGAATTTCCCTGATAGCATTTTATCATGAACTACACACATACATACTAAAGCTACTCATTGAATGACTTGGAGTGCATACTAGAGCTAACAAATCACAGATTACCCACAAGGGGAGATGGAAATGAGGTTTGGTGCGTGCCTGTACGTTTAGATAGCCCAATAATCCAAATGCAATCTAAGAAATTAAGTACTATCGCAGTACCGCCCGCACCTGCATCTCCTCACTGTATTTGGGCGGCCGGAGGCCGCACTCCGCTTGTAATTCTATAGGGAGTGTCTCATGGGCAGAAAAAAGAAAGAAGGGAAAAAACGATCCATATATATAGTTAGAATCACCTTCGTGATGATGATTCGATAAGCCCTCCAAGCTACATCATAGAGAGGGCAATGTGCTCGGAAGACAGTCTCGAGGTGTCCTGCTCCTCAAAAAGGTAAAGCCTAGGCATAATCCCAGTTCTCCGTGGCGCAATTGGCTAGCGCGTTCGACTGTTATATTCATATGTGGCATCGAGAGGTTGACAGTTCAACCCTGTCCGGGGAAGTTGTAAACTTAACCAGTGTCTTTTTTTTCTTCTCTTTTTTTTTTTCTAACACGGCAGCAGAAAGCCCCTTTTTTCTTGAGTTAATTGAATAACTCGAAAGTATATATGGGGGATCGGTAATAGGTCTACTAGCAATGAGGGAAGTAACTGGGTTGGGAAAGTGTCTACTACATGTATGTACCGGAATATGGGTTTTCTAATACTCAAGTACTATCCTCACTGGCCGAGGCGGGATGATTTGAGTTTTAAAGGCTTCCTCATGTCCATGACCGTAGCACGAGGTCTCCGTGCTAGGACAGTCTCGGTGAGACCTTTACTTAAAGAAACTCTAGTTTAAAGTACTCTGCTTAGATCTCATCAAAATGGCCCAGTAGCTATGAGGGTTGGGGGTTCTTGGCCGGGCATCCACGGGGTTGCGCATTACAGGCGCTCTAAAATGGATACAGGCTACTCGCAACACTTTAGCTATGTACAAGCATTATATTAGACGCGCAATATATTGCCTCGCCTTATGCTACTAGCTAGCTCAGAGCTCCGCTATCCCTTCATCCCCTCAAAACATTTCTCTAGAGAGAGCCACTATATGTTTTCCTTTGATCGACACCACACCCTGTTCCGCTGACAGAAACCAGTTTGTTAGTATCCCTTGGACGGATGAAATCGTCAAATTCGCAGCCTGGAGCGTGCACGCACTGAGTTGGGTATATCCGTTGCTCTTAATGGTTGAAAATAGTCATAGAACCAATCAAAAAATAAGTGTTAGATACCTGCTTAGGCTAGTATTAGCTCAAAAAAGGCAAGCTGCGAATTTGACAGTTTCATCCGTCCAAGGGATAGTATAATGTGAGGTATAAACTGAACCTGGTGAATTGTTAGAGAAGCATATGTACTAACCGCGCGCCTTCACCACATATTAGAGCTAGAGGTGATGGCTTAAACTATGTAATGGGTTCAGGAAACAGGCTCTCGCCAAAAGGCACCAAAATACCCCATTACCAGCATATTACCAGCATCAGAGACATATTCCAGTAACTTCGAGTTGTAGTATACAAGTTCTAGTATTATCTGAGCTAGATATATGTAGATTATTATGATTCCAAGTTCCTAAGCTTTCCCTCCGAATTCATCCATTTTCCATCAAACCTGAACCAATCCGAATACATGTCTTATCGACCGCTCAATATGCCATAAGTAGATTTTATAAGAGTTTCCAAGCAAACATACACAAGCAGAAAGTGGGGCATAATAACTATACATATATATTATACTGGACCGTTTGCAGATATTTATATATATATACACCACGCTGAAGCAACTCTCGGGCCAGCCTCGTGGGAAATCTTATTGAGTCAGAAGAAAGGGGTGGTTGGGTAATTAGGCTTCCAGAGGGGTTTACGCATGCACAATACGAGAAATATGTCTTGAAGTGGGCAACGCCTAGCTGTGCGAGTGTTGTAGCAAGATAGGAGGTGCACATGTCATGACATAATATACATACATAGTCAGTTTTCCTACTGTTAAACGCAAATACAGACGCATCTTCAACACGCGCGAGGGAAGTGGAAGATACTAACTTAATGAATCTAAACAATCTCAGAGGGGTAAAATATCTTTATTCTCCACTTCCATGTCGCTGTAAGAGAACAATATTCGCCGTACGGAAGAGTAAAGCCTCTTTTGATTTTGATTTGGTTAACAGGATTCAAATTTGGGAGTCCGAAAAATCTATTCTAAAAAGATATGTTTGCTCTGTTCTAGAATGCAAAAAAAAAAGAAAAATTTATGACAGAAGTGGGACTTGAACCCACGCTCGTTTCCGAACCAGGAATTGATGTTAAGAATAAGACCTTAACCTGGCGCCATAACCAACTCGGCCATCCTGCCATGAAACAGCAAGGAGTAGAATAATATTTAGTCGGGTATGACAGGCGCCAAGGCAGAAGAGATTTTCTCGGGCTTCATCCTGCGCCTTCACAGTGTACATGTTATCATTTCAACAAAGGGTCGAGGAGCGATAATTCATGTCATGTTGATATCACTGTACAGCTGTGCTTTGAAACTTAAATTAGAGGAACTACAGAAATACTCCGATACATAGGTTTGGATATCAGGGGTAATGATTGTTTCCACAGGATGTTAGAGAAAAGAGTTCTAGCCAGTTACCTTTGAGGGTTACATGTAGTTGCCGACGCTTTTGGCTTTTGTAATAACAAGCTGCAACCAATCAAATCCCCGGGGTTCGTCTGACCTATAACAGTACCGTGTTCAAGAAGTTGCCCATGCACATGCAGAATCAACAGTATGGCCCCAACTGAATAGGTGCTTCAAAGTACATAGCTCAAAAACTATGATATATATACCCCACATGATACCTTTATGACTTTATTCCCATTTCGCAGTACTAGCACTTGAATTCGAGGGGTCCGATCTTTTCAGTGAGGGTGAGATAGAGTCCCTAAATATATAGAGGATCCGTCATGCAGCTATTGAAGACGTTATGTTATCGGTGTCCGTGACTTCATTAAAGGTCTATTACCAACCATATTAGAAAGTTATGGATGTCCAGTGGAGAGATATTTTGATCTAACACTAGAGATATTGATTGAGCTTTAACTCTATCAGTCACAGTCCTTCCCGATCATTGATACTGATAATAGTGTGGTTGACTAATTCGGGAAAGAAAAACAGGGCCAGGGTATCGACTCGCCCCGCCTCGAGGGGTCTGCCTCGGATTCTCTCGAGCTAGGGACATGCGAGCTATGAATTTCCCGATACCCCCGCAAAGCCTTGGTTTTAACTAATAGCAATTATAAAATATTTATCCTTGTCTTATTCGAGCAAAAGGTGCCATGCACGATTAGTGTTTTAATAAATTGAAACGGAGGTACCTCTATCTATATTTTCCCCACCACCTAGCTCGAGAACTCGGTTCCTGAGAGAATGTGAGTACAGTCGTCTTGGGGGCAACGACGAAACTGGTTGAACGACGAACAAGGGTCTTTATCAGTCAAGCCAGTGGCGCTCAGGCTGATATGCAACCACTTGTTTGGCTGAAATCTATGTTTTCGTCGTTGTCCCAGGTTCGTCGTTGCCCCAAAGTTGACTGTAATCTAACTCCTTGAAAAACTTTGAAGCGAGTTACGATGCGCCTCGACTTTGTGGGTCGCACTGAGGGACAATTCGGCTTGCTGCTTCTCCTTAGCCCTCTTATGTAATATAATTTAAAGAACTAAATAAGCAGAGTTAGTAACTAGTAGATGTTAGATTTTAAATGGTAATCAACAATTATGGCGAGTAAAAGCTCGTGTCTCGATGCTCAAATTGGCGCTGGTAACTGGCATACCGAGGACAATTCTCATTAATCAATATGTGGATGGGGCTGAGAAAGGGCGTTAATCGATCGCGAGGAGAATGGCTATGCATGGGGGGGAATGGAGGATCCTAAGAAGACCGAGGGAGTGTAAAAGGTGTTAGGTGTGGGGGATAGAGAAGGCCAGGGCGGATAGTGGGGTGGGCGAAGAGATAAGACGAATACTTCAACCAGTCTTTCATTGGCCGCTTGATAAAAAATAACTGACGACGAGGATATCCTTCCCGCTAGAGCTCTTGCGGTCACAGCGTCATAACCCTCCAGCTAAACTACAGAATGAAAAGTGTGATATCTGGAGGTGACAGGGGCGACAGACTATTCGGCGGCTATTAGGAAATTTCCTTCTATAGAAGATACTAGCCGGCGTAATAAACTAATAGTTATGTTAGTCGTGTAGTGAGAGTAGGAGAATACATATGTACAAGTGGTTTCCGGCCTTCAGCTGGTACTACACGTATATCAATCAGTCTAATATACAGGCAAGCCGCCTTCCGGCTTGTTTCTCTATTTACCTGTCAGTCGGTGTTCTCAGGCCGCTGTGCGGCCCCCGACCCCCCCCCCTGGCAGGTAAAGTTCATCACTATATCTGCGCTGGTCGATCTATATGTCCCGTTTCTGATATCCTCCATGTACCAATAAATAGATCAGAAATTTCTCCAGTTCAGCTGCAAGTATATCTCTTTAATAGCCACCAAGCCTCTAAAATCCAACTATTAATCGCTTCTCAGAACCAGTAGAAACCCTATTAACAATCTAACACCACTCAGCACAATACCCTATGGTAATATCCAACACAACATGTTTCAAGTGAAGCAAAAACCTCTCTCAATGAGCCAATCAGAAGACTATAAAAGTACATTGCATATGCAGGTTATAATTATACTTATTAGATGGAGTAAGTCATGTGACTAGAATGAGACTGGGAAGTCGAGACAATGTATGGAGTAAGGTGGCTTGTAATAGGCGTGGACAAAATCTAGTCTTGGTAAAAGGCTAGAATGTCATTATAGATGGAATTTAAGAGCGGAAACTTCAATTCCCTCTTCCTCTTAGAAACATCATCAATAGAAGTTAACATCTATCGACGTACTTCAACAGTGGTAGGTTACATGTAGTTATCCCCTAGACCGTTGGGCTGAATCGTAATGTGTTACCGAACCTGATATTGCTGATATACTGAACACGGTTACTGTTCATTCTCTCACTGACGTTAGTTTTATTGAGAATATTAATGCATCAGTGCTGGGAGGCGCACATCGCCGCCACGGGCACGGCAATCGCGAAGTCCCAGAATCTACCTTTGAAGGTCAGATCTAATCGTATTCCCCCAAGTAAGTATCGTTGAGACGGAAAGGGCAGCTTGCAGCCGCATACTACACTACAGACAGAGGTGGTGGGCCGGCAGTGGTACTTTGCCGGAGGAGATAGGAGCGGGAGGAGAGTAGGAGTAAGGGTTATTCCTTTCCTACCTAACAGGGCGCGCGGCGCAACGGCTTTAAGGGCCATCCCTGCAGTTTTCAGTATTATCGGTACGGTACCAATCGTTTCTGCAGTCTAAAAACAATCTGGATACATGTAGGTACATAGCATGGGGGCAGCGGCGGTATCTTCACCATTTATCACTCGATAG